TATATATATAAATTACAAATAAATAAATAAAGTTATGAATTATCATTTGCGTCCCATTGAGAAAAAAAAAAAAAAGAAACGCCATAATGGTGACCTGCACCTAAAAAACAAAAATCGTTCACCTGAGGACAATAAAGTGGAAACCAAATTGGGAAGACAAATAAAAAAACGTGTATCACATAATTTTATGTATCACTATAATCTATACTCTATACCTAAAGAAATCAAAAACCCGAAATTGTACAAATCATGGTCAAATTGAAAATTCAGTGGCTTAATATTTCATCATATCATCATTTCGTAACACTTTAGGTGAAAGATTTCATCATTAGATAAACATTTAAATGTGGATAATTATCGATAAAAAAGTACAAAATTACGCAATATTAAAATGCCCACATTAAAAGTTTGACCAGAAATTATGGCGTAAAAATATGTCATCGTAATTCCGCATTCTTGTACTACTGTACTACATCACAAGTAATGGCAAATCAAAAAAATGGGGGAAAATAACAAAAACCGTGTATCACATTAACACATAGTGTTTTGATCTGCGCTTTTTTTTTGGTATTTAGGGCTGTACGGATATTCGGATAACGATCAACGATATACATCATGAAAGGAAAGAAAGAATTGGTATTCATTTGGACATTTTTAACTTAGTAACGTTGTTTTTTTTGAATTTTAATATTATGTAATAGGTACAACAGTAAATATTACACTCTAATACTTTTTTTATCTAATAAACTCGTGACATCATATCATGATATTTATTATATTGAAATACATATGAAATATTGAAATATTATTATTATAAGTTAGTTTAAATTTTATTCATTCTATTATTGCCTACTGTGGAGGAGAAAGAATGTATATAAAAACCCCTTCCTTCTTCATTCCTTTTTTTTTAAAAAAAAATAAAAAATAAGACTAAATAATTATTCACATACACACTGTACATATATCCTCAAAATCCTCAAAATGTCAAAAAATTATAATATCAATTCGATCGCATTTTTTGATTCTGATTCTGAATCTCAAATAGATCCTGAAATTCTTTTACGTTTATTATTATCTCAAACTCCACCACCGTATCAATTAACACTTCCTATAGATGACCTCATAAATTCTCCTCCTAAGTCGAACGGTACTATTCCACGTCCAAAGAACTCATTTATTATCTTTAGAAATGATTATAGCGCAAGAATTAAAGCGCAATGTTCAAATATGACTGTTAGTAAAATTTCTGGGATCGTCAGCCAAGCGTGGAAAAATCAACCAACCTCTGTTTTACAGTTTTTTGAAATATTATCTATGGTCTCCTATCAAAGACACAAAATTATGTATCCTGATTATAAATATGCACCTCAAAAGAAGGAAAAGAAATCTCAAATTACACAAACATCTCTTATTCTTGTACGTGATGATATTGAAACACCCACAAATACCTCGTATGCTACGGACTTGTCTTATGATTTGTTTTCTGCTTTTGACGATGAAAATACAATTTTGATTGACAAAATGTTGGGAATCTTTTATGATAAAATTAATATGTAGATTATGACTGTACATTATATATGTATATATATGAATTTTGTTTTTTTTTTGTTCTTACTTTTTACGTATATATAATTTCATTGTAATAAAATTCAATAAATTCAAATTATTATTTTTTTTAAAAAAAATTCCAATTATTGAAAATTTAAATTTTTACTGATTATATTATTGTGTTAATCAATTAATGCGTATTTTATTTTATTAGATATAGACTTAGACTGGGGCAATAACAAGGGAAAAAACCCTGTAGTATATATATATACAATAAACTATACATAACGTTACCCCTAATTAATTAATGCATATAACCTATCTTATATTTTATCCGATAAAATCATGTGATTTACAACTTCAATTTCACTCAAGTGAGACAAATTAATCGTGTGTTCCCTTGAGGTGCTACATGTGACTTTAGTGGTAGTGATGGGATTTCCATGGAATTTATCGGGATCTGTGCAAATTTAACATTAGTAATACTGTACAAATCTCATAAAATTTCGCGTAACGGGTAATTAACCCCATCCCTAGTGTCACCTCAGTATAAATATACGTAACGTTTCACGTGAATAATCACGTTAATTTGCAATGTTTCTAATGTTTCTAATATTTCTCCAGCCACTCCACATACAACAATTTACAATTTAACAATAATATTTTAAAACTTCAATCAATAAAACAACAGCCACTTCACATTCAATCTCAATTAGTCATACAATATAAACAACGGACAGCTTATTATCAGAAGTCAGAACAATACTGTAAAGACAAATATTTTTTTTAAAAAAAAATTATCATCATATTGTAGTTTTGCTAACTTATTTATTTATTTATTTTTTTTTTTATTTTTATATTTTTTTTTTATTTTTTCAAAATAGAATTTTGGAATATATTGTTATTGACTTATTGTACTGTACAGTTCACCCTCACTATAGTGAATCTCATGTGCTGGAGATTAAAATCCGTTATAGTGAGAAATTAAATATATTGATAGCAGATAAATATTAGAATTGCTATATATAAATATTTTTGTGATATTCTTCAATATTCGTAAAATGATAATGTATTATGTACTTATGCAAATAAAAATTTTTTTAAAATCTAAAATATTATGCCCCCTAAAAGTTTTAATAAAACATTATTCAGGAGTTTCAATTTTAAAATTAATATTTATTTTTCTTTTTTTGAAATAAATGTACAGTCAACTCTCTCTAAGTTGGGACCATAATGAAAATTTGAAAAACGTGCATTTAGAGAGGAAGTGCATTTAGAGAAGGAAATTTTATATGACCTTTATACTTGGGACTGAGTAAGAGGGTGTATTTAGAGAAAAAATATATAATACGTGCACTTGACAGTGCGAAAATCCAAGAATTTGGACCGTGGTTTCCATTAAGATCACGTGAATGTGCTGTTTAAGTGTCTAACCGTCACTTACCATGTGATTGGCTGATTGGCGAGTTAGTATTTATCTCAGTAACATTGTTTGGTCGTCACACCTTGTAATAAGTGTCACAAACTATGTTTGGATCCGTTCTCATGGTATGGGTCCCATGGAACCAATCAAATCGCTTTCTATTTACAAAATCCTAAAAATAAAAAAACCGGTTTCCAAAGTTTCAGAATTTTAATATGAACTATGATCATTTCTGATTACGGATACAATGAATAGCCTTTTAAACTTAAATGTTGTTTAATCAAAAGTTTGGATCGTTTGACTTTAAGGGGGGTTGGGGAGCCAGTAACACGAGTTCCATTAATTAATTAGGTTGTTTTCAACTTTTGATTTCAAGTTAGAATAAACAAACAATATTTGGTTTCAAAATTACCGCAGTACTGACAATTTCTTAAAAGTTACTGCTATGATAAAAAAAAAAAAAAAAAAAAAAAAATAATAATATATACATAAAGAATTTTTTACAAAAGATTAGTCATGAGTTTTCCACACATATTTAAAAATATTTTTTTTTCTTTTATTAACGATTAAATATTATCAACTTTTGACTTTTACTTTCATTGGATATTATTTTTGATACAATTATATAAATAACCCATTAATTAGGATAAAGGGGTGCATGTTATGTTACCCTTTTCGGATGACATATTCCATATATTATGAATTCATACATGTTTGGGACGTGGAAAATATTATCCAGAAGCAAAACAATACTAGTCAATTTTGTCATTATTGCATTATTTTAATTATTTATTTTAAAAATTTGTAATAAATAAATAAAAAATTTGTAATTTGATTCTTTCTTTGTATAAATGCACAACATCAAAAATGTTCCTATTATTTGATAATTTTGGATAATTGAGTATTGAAATTTAAATAATTTAAATTATACAGGAGCAAACAGTAACGAACCACATAAAAATAAAAAGTGTCCATTGTCTCGGCTAATGTTTGAGAAACGTATTACTATGCCCAAATAAAGTTAAGAATGTGTCGGCTAAATGCAGATCTATTTGATCTCAAAAATTTGATTGGTGGAATTAGATTTACCAGTGATTTACCGGAGTCATTTAAAAACAAGATTGAATTTTTTTTTTTTTGTACTATTTTTAAAGATGAAACAAAAGAATTCTATTAAGATAACTAAATTTCGTAAGTGTATTTTTTAGTAAAAAAGAATTCCAAACCATCTCCGTCGAATTGTCGAATTTTTGAGAAACTGTTTGATTGAAAGGATTATATTTTTTTCTGAAAAAAATTCATGTGTTTTAACTTTCTTTGCAAAACAAAACAATTTTCAAATCTGCACCGGATATTGTTAAGCGAAATCTTTATTAAGCGACATTTATTAAATAAGCAAACAAATATGTCAAGAAAGTCCTTGTCATTAAATTGATTTTTTTTTTATTTTTAATAATCGCGTGGAATAATCTTTTCTAATAAAAGGTTAAATAGAGGAACACTTTAAATTCAAGTTATACATACTTCTTATATAATCGGAAAATGGACAATCCATCCATAATTTTATTAATAATTAATTAAATTTTTATTTATCACGCTATGATGATATATCAATATCATAAGATTCCTTTCAATTCCTTTAAAGTTTTAATTAAATCCGATAATTTTATTATTATGTTACACTGTCACAAATTGCAACTTATTTAATTAATCGCAATAAATATATATTTAGTAATTTATTAACATTGTTTTAACTGCGGATCTACACCGACCGGAATCATTTAACCAATCAGAATCCAATGATCATTCATTTCCTTGTTCCTTTTTTGTGTTGAGCCACAAAATTTCTTTTCGGACGTTCTTGAAACAATGAAATGAAATATATAAATTTATAAAATTGAAATTTGCTTGATCCAACAATTTTTTATTACAAAATGGAAGATATTATCCGTTTATGTGATCAATAAATCTCCGTATATCCTCCCAAATTCTGAGATGAAAGGACTCCGAAAAAAAAAAAAAAACAGTTACTGTAAATTATAATCCAAAGATGAAAAACAAAAAAAAAAATGGTTTGATCCTTCAACATGCTATAATCATTTAGTCTTTTTTAAGCCTCATGGAAACGAATCAAAGCTTGGCACGCATATTAAGGGATTATAATAATTATGTCATCATAATTATCATAATTAAAATGATGTGATATTGTTATTTCAAGTTACTTTTCCTCCGATTACCAAATTATTTGTATTTTACTGATTTGGTAATTGTAAAATGAAAGGTTGTAGAAATTTATGGTAAATAATTCACAAAAAAATAAGCGCGTGTTCAATAAAATTATATATCAAGTTAACAAATGTAAAATATTAATATTAATATCGGAAAAGTTTTATCAGTAAAATTGCGTGCGTGTAACATTGAAGGAATAAGTTTTTATGCGAATTTAAAGTTAAACAAATCTAGAAAATTCATTTTTGAAAGGGATTCATGTAACTTTAATCTTAAAATTGTGGCTAATTGTAAATATATATGTGATCTGCACAAGCCACACATCATCTATTCCGCGAATTCACAATACTACACAATACTTGTAGTCCATATCGGATCTCAAGGTGATGGTTAAATTTTTAATTTTTTTTTTCATATATATAGGGCCAAGATATCCTTGATTTTTCAAAAAAAAAAAAATAATAATAATAAATAAATAAATAAATAAACAATAATAAATAATAATAATATATATACGCATATACTTATATATATTTAGATTCAACACTTAAAATATTTTCAAAATGCCCCGTTCTGCAAAGCCAAAGTCTTCTTTATATAGTCCTTATGATAAGGAAGAAAACAATAATCGCAACTTCGAGATCCCATTCATTTTTCAAGATTACAATCATTCCTCATCATCTAAAGTAAAGAATACCTTTGAGGAGAGCTTCGATACTTTGATTAATAGGCTGACCACAAATCCTCCTTATAAATTAACACTTACAGTTGATGAATTATTAGCTCCAAGTAAAAAAAATTTAGGTTCTCGTTCTCGTCCTAAATCTATTCCCCCACGTCCACAAAATGTTTTCATATTATTTAAAAAAGATTTAACCGCAAGATTAAAATTGGAACCATCAAATAAAGATTTATCCATATCTAGAATTTCGAGCCTTGCAAAGGTCATTTGGGCAAATTTATCTAATGAAGCCCGCCAATTCTTTGAAATTCTTTATCTTGCATGTATAGAGAAACATAAATCTTTATACCCGGGGTATAGATATACCCCTAAGAAAAAACCTCAACCTGAAGAGAATAAAAGTCGTTCAAAAAATTTAAGTTCAAATATAAAAAAACAAGTAACGGTATTTCCGAAACTTGATTATGATGATTTATTTACTGAATTGTTCCACGAGGATTCAGCTATGAACGAATTCTTCGATTTTCATTTATGGGATTCTCATCAGAAGTAAACGTATTATTTTGAACATTATATATATATATATATATATATGTATTTATATATATATTAGTAGATTTTAGCGAACATTCAGAAAAAGTTTAATTTTATTATTAGTTTATTTTTTATTTTATTTTTTATAAATATCTTTTAAATCCTTTACTTTTCTTACTAATATTTATTATGTTATAAAGAATACGATCTTTTTTTATGCCTGTTAAAATTTTTTATTAATATAGAAAAAATAAAGTTTTATTATTATATAAAATGTAAAACTTTAAAAAAAAATCATAAGAAATATAAAATATTATGTTTAAACGTTAAGATAATTATTATGATAAGATTTTTTTGTTTTAAGAATTTTCTTTCTTTCACAAAAAAAAAAAAAAAAAAAAAAAATACAAAAAAAAAAAAGGAAAAAGAAAGAAAGAAAAAAAAACAGGAATTATGATTATGTAAGATTTGTTGTCTATTTTTTTGGGGGGACATCCTGAAAACTTGGGAACCTGTTTTTATTCTCGGATTAAATTTGTACTACATTGAATTCAGTTATCTTCTCATGGTACAAGATTGATTAATACGTTACATATTACAATCTTAGAAATAATCCCCACTATGTATTTTTCAAAAAATATGAGTATAGTTAGTTATTATTAGTAAATAATATTAGATACAGTATCTTTTAGAATCGATTGTATTCTTCTTTTTTTTTAAAAGAATCACATAATTAAAGAATTTTAATATTCTTTCGCTGTCTATTAAAGAATAAAATTATTTTATTAAATAAAGAACTGAGTAAGGAATAATATTAACCTATAAATAGAATAATTAGATAGATATATTGATAAAGGTTGATCGCAATAAATAATACAAATTAAATAATTAAATAAATGGATATGTTGTCATTGTTTGACCGTATATTCTTATGTACTATACTGTATATGTATATTAATATATTTTTATATTTTAAACATAACCTTACAATATATAAAATTTAGAAATCTCTTTGTGGATCTTGGATCTTGTGGATGATTGGTTTGCTCTTATTCAACTGGTTTCCCCCAAAATTCAAGTATAAGTATTACCTATACTTATTTGAATATATTAAACAGCCATACTTCATCTATCTGATCCAAGTTAATGATCATGTGTTCTATTCCCCCCAATGTTTGATTAACATGTACTTGTACAGTTGTACTACTGTACTACCCCACAATTCCCCAAAATCTTTTTTTGTTTTCATCATTATAATTTCCAATTCAAAATACGATATTTTTAAAAAAAAAAAAAAAAATTTTTTTCTTTTCCTTTGTAAATAAAATAACAAAATACATTTTACATTACATAAGAATATGATATATTATATAATTTGTCATAATTGACATACCTTTTATAAATTTATATTTAATTTGGAACGACATGCTCCTTGTTTGACAAAATAAAAATTTGAAACTTGTTACCAACTACCAGGCAAATTGTTACAAACATTCCCATAATACAGGTCTTAATAAAACCCGAGCTTAATAATCCTGTTAGTTATGTGGTCAAAAATTTAGGGTATTACTTTTGGTCATATTTTCAACAATATGGATAGTGTAAAAAGGTATGGTTTTATTTAAATTTAATTTTTCGAAAGAACCATTACAGTTAAGGAGTTATATATATTTATATATTTATATACTTTTTTTCAACGTCACATAAAAGCTGTTTTTTAACCCTAACGGTCGATATATATATATAATAGATATATTTTCGAGCTTACAATTTGGCAGTATTAAAACAATAAGCAACATTACACGGCGATATCTGGAAAGGAACACAACACGATACTTCTGGAGTTGCGAAGCAAATATATGTTTATTACATGTCTATGTCGTACGCAAATGCAGAAAAATGAAAGAAGCTGCAGAAACTTTCTTTAACAAACATCCGTAATCACGTAATTACGTAACTCATGTATATCTCGATCAAAGTGGATTCTTCGAAGTAAAAATTATATTGGTGGTGAAATTGGAGAAAGACTTTTAATCTACCGTTTAAAGATCGTGCATATTTTTCAAATTCATGATATTATGTATTCTCAAGATTTAAAGGTACTCCAATGAAAAATAGCAAAATAATCAATCCTAAATGAAGCCACTGCTGTCATACAAGCCACGATATTGATGTAAGCAGAACCTTAAATGTATAACTTAATTTTTTATCTTTTAAACGTTATAACTTTTTAACTCACTATCTGTTATCATTGATATCAAGATAAGATTACCGTCACCAATGAATTGTTGAAGGAGGAAGAAATTGTACGCTATTGTCTATCATGAATGATTTTAAATTATTGAATTTTCGGCATTTCTTCAGCATATTGGATCAAAATCCGGTATGGTTTACAGTAGCTATATTGTATGGTATGTTTATCAATTTTAAAAATATATATACACACACATATATTTTATTAATTAATGGATTATTTATAAATACATTATTTTATTTATAATAGCAATTGCCAGGTGATGTAAAAAGAGAATGTCGCACAAAAACACCACAAGACACTATGCATGCACACTTCAATCAATGGGATTATTGATTTATCAACTAGAAAATATCTGGTAAACTCGTTCTAGAAAAATTACAATTCTAGGAAAGTGCTGATTTGGACATCATATGGGAATTTGATTCAAGGATATCTATGGAATAAATTTTCCTAGATTTTCTCGATTTGATTATTAATTATTAAATACTATGGTAATGTATTTAATCATTCACACACACATTTAATGAATCATTTGTGGCTTAGGCTTAGAATGAGATCATTGATGATGTGCTCATGATAATCATTATTTTACTATTAGTCCATGAAGGTATTACAAATTCATGTGTAAGATTTGAGAATGTTTGTATACATTTTTTATTCTAATCATTTAATAATCCGAATAACACTTTGTATATATATATATTTAAGGAAAGGCCAATTATGGTTTTTTTGATAATCAAATCAAATAATTTGGTTTCTAAGAATGATTCTTGCGGATTTTACGTAAAATTGGTGAAACTTCAAATCAATTCAACTATTTATTAAAAAAAAGTTATTTGAGTTATTAAATTTTTCATTCGATTTTACCGTTACACACAAAAAAGTCTCGCATTTTTGTGAAGGATAAGAAAAAGGATAGAAAAAGTTATTTATTAGAATAACTTAACGTTTCAATAATATTTAACAAAATTTCCAGACATTTTAATTTGAGTAATTAAACTTCTATTTAATATTAACAATATTAACAAAAAGCAATAATATTATTTAATTATCTAGTAGTAATTATATAATTGGTTTTGTTATTACCAACATTTTTGGAAAAAGTAATGCAAAAGTAATATTATCAGTTATCAGTTTTTATTTTTGTAGTTTTACTATTGAATTCAGATTTTTGAAAAAAATCGACTTTTTTTTGGCCTTTTTTTTTGTTATTTTTCTTATTAATTAAATACATCTTGATTTTTTTTAAAAAAAAATTATTTTATATTTTTTATATTTTACATAATTTATTTTAATTTAAGAATGTAATATAATAAAGTGTAAATACAGATTATTGCATGGATTAAATAAATCTATTAATTAATACTAAATAAAATAAAATAAAAATGGTAATCACATATTTTTCTTTTCTATTTTTTTCTATAAATTTTAGATTTAAAAACTTGAAAAAAAAACAAATAAAAAAAAATGATATTACTTTTAAAAAATTTCAAATATTAATAAAATTACTTATTTATAAAGTAAGTTATAATTAAATTTTATAATAGTAAAAATAATAACTAATATACTAATACATAATATTTAATCTTTAAATTAAGATTCTAAAAATATTTCTTAGCTTATTTTTCTTATTAATAGTTTCAATATTGAAGTTTTATTAAAAACAAATTAAAGTAAATTTAAAAAACAATTTTTGTAATTATTTTACCAATTAGTAGTCCAATTTAAACAATTTTAATAAGCTTTAAAAAATAAAAAAAGTTTATTAAATTGAATTACTAGATGGCAAAATAATTGCAATATACTAAAATAATAATTTGTATTAATTTAAATAAAAATCAATTATAAAATTCTATTATTAGGTAATATAAATATTTATATTAATAAAAAAAATTATTATATTTTTTACATATTTATAGTAATAAAGTTTATTTATTATAATAATTTACAAAAAACTTTAAAATAGTTTATATTTGCAGCTATAATTTATAAATATATTTGTTATTATATTTTTGTATAGAAATCAATTTCAAAAGATATAAAGAAAAGTATTAAGATTTTTGAAATGAATTTACTTAATAATGTATCCAATAAATTTCAAATACAGTAAACTAAAGCTTAATATATGGAGATACTAAAATTGTCTAGTTTTTAATACTTCAAATTTCAAAATATACATTAATTTGGCAATGTATATGAAATTTAAATCTTTAATCTAATTACAAAGCAATCCTGTTTATTTTTGCTTTAATTATATAATCCAAAAAGTAACTAAAGTAATATACAACATATAATATATATAATATAAAAGGAAAAATAAAAAAATAAAAAATAATTTACATATTTATATTGTTCACTTTACAATAATTTATTGCTTCCTCGTATTTTTTACTAGCAGCCATTATCATATAATATTTACCCATTTCATTATTATTGTTCGCGAAGTAATAAGTAGCTACATTAAACATAGCTACAAGATGATCATTATTAGCGGCTTTAAGAAGATATTCGATCGCTACATCCATATCTTTTTCAACGCCTTTTCCTTGCATAGCCATTAATGCATAACGAAGTTGCGCATCAGGATATTCATCACCACGGTCTGCAGCTTCCTTGTAAAGATTGGCAGTAATTTTATATCTCTCTCCTTGAGAACATATAAGGTCAGACCAACCTTTTGAAATATAATAAGCCTTATAATATTTTGCCTTTGGATTACCCATATTAGCATAAGCATCAAAGCATTTGTAAATTATACTCTTATCCATGGTACCTTTTTTATGTTCCTCAACTGCTTTGTCAATCGTCAAATAATTAAACGAACCCCAATTGAACAATGCAGTATCTTTTCGCACTGGAACACGTTTTTTGATGGATACGGGACGACTCGCGGGACTTTCAGCATCATAACTGTGAAAAATATCCTGAAGAGCCGTTAACATCTTTGAAAATATAGGTCGAAGACCTGGATTTTGATCAACAGCGCTAGTCACAAGTTCTTGATATCTTTCTGGAATACCAGTATTGGGTGTAAACGGTTCTCTATACCCGTCTATTACTTTTTGTGTTATTTCCATAAAGTCTTCGTATTGTGAATATGGAGTTCTACATTCGGCGATTTCCCAAAGAAGAATGCCAAAACTGTAAACTTCGCATTTAGTATCATATTTTCTTTTCGTATCCATTACTTCTCCTGTCATTCCTCTTCTCAACATTTCAGGAGAACTATGTCGAACACATTCTTTATCCACTGCTAGATTATTTGTAGCTGCTTCAATTCCTCTACTTACTTTAAAATTTGTTATTTTCGCAATATAACGATCTGTAATTACGATATTTTCGGATCTAATATCTCGATGAACGATCTACACGAAAAAGGAATTTTTAATCATATCTTAGAAATCCTTAATAAAAATATTTAAATTACTATGATTATTACCTTAACAGCATTAAGGAAATTCAACCCTTTAGCTATATCATAAGCAAATCCTAACCTCACTTTAATTGCACTATTTGGTTCACTGCCTGAGAGATATTCACGTAAATTTTTATGTTCCGCCCATTCAGTTACTAAATAATATTTATCACTTCCATCAGTAATACCATAGAAGTGAATAATATTTTGACAATCTTTAAGTTTTTTAAGTATTGTGACTTGATTTTTAACCATATTAAAATGACCCTTTTCTACAGTTTTAAAAGCAAATTCTTCTTTAGTTTTTACATGAATATACTTTCTCAATTTATCACCTCGAAAAATTACTGTCTCTTCATAATCATCGAATGGAAGAAGAGACTCATGAAAGATACTATCGATTTTCGTTTGATTTGCGCCTTTATCACCGAGACTTTGCATAGTAATTGCCATTGCACTAACTTTTTCGACAATGTAAGAAACTTTTTGGTCCACATTAGTGATATTCATGCACGCACTATCCATTTTCTTGTTGGCATCAGTAATACTTTCAGCTAAAGCTTCTTGAAACTTTGTAAGTTCCTTAAGGTCATCTTGCAAAATTTTTCTTTCTTTTTCTGCATTAACCCTAAAATCGACCATTAGGGTGAGATTTAATAATTGAATACTCAATTCATATTCTTTACATAAATTGTTAAACGATGATTCAATTGTTTGAGCTCCTAAAAATTTTTGCACTTTATTATATTGAGTTATTACATCTGCATAATTTTTCATTTTTTGAAGAACTTGAACTAATCTTTGTAAATTATAATAATGTTTTGAAGTATATAAATCATCTTCTCGCAAAATGCTAATTGCGGAATGTGCCGCAGCAACACGTTCCATCAAAAGTTTGGTAATTTTTTTATTATGTTGAGCCGTACTATATAAATCTACAATCCTTTTAAGTATATCGGCTACATCTTTAATAAGTGGGACGAATTGTGCGAAAGGAATAACTACTGTTGATACTGTTATATCAGCAGCGGAAGCAATCATTCCATCGGTTATAGATTCTGCTCCATCAATTTCAGTCATTTTCATTAATTTTATAGCAGTAGGAAGTTTTTTTCTTTAAATATATGCTTACACGTATATACTGTATATTATTTTTTTGAAAAAAAAAATATTTTTCTTGGTGTATTATTGTATTATATATAATATTTTTGTTCCACAATTTATTACATTTATTAAACCTATTATGGTTAAAAAAAAATGAGGATTTAAGGAATTAGGTTTCCGTGTTTCACAGATAATTTCTCAATAATCGGATTTGGAAGTTTGGGTACGCACCCGCATCTTATTTTTTTTATTTTTTTTTTAACCAAGGTAGTGCAATTTGTGAGTTTATTAATTATATGTAAGGATATATAAATATCTCTTATTTTTTTTATTATCGAAATTGTATTGGTACATATATGTGTATTATATAACAAATGGTTCTAAATTCAGTTAATACATATTTATTACTTTTTTTATAAAACATTTCAAAGGCTTAATATTATTCTAATATTTGCTATCTATACTATTATATTTTCAAATACTAGCTTTATAATCATTTATTTTAATTATTGACAATTTGGTGAATTTATTCCTCACCCTGGATGAAATTCCCCTCAAGTCATAAATTGTAAAAATGTCAAAAATGGTATTTAACTATTTATAAATTGTATAAGACTAGTTTTCTCACCATGTGATTTAACCCAGGTAACATCACCTATGTAAAATTAAATCATGTGAACCTGGTATGTATGTATGTATATTACATTACTCATAAAAAAATAGTAGATTAGTTAGGGTTATGATTGGGTTAGAGTTGAGTTAGGAATTTAGGGATTTAGGATTAAGGATTAGAATTAGGGTTAGAATTAGGATTATGGTTAGGGGATTAGGATTAGGGTAAGGTTTGGGTTTGCTGGAGTTGTTAATTTGATGATGTCATTTTAAAGAGTGAAATTTACAGTTATAAAAGTTATAAATTTTAATTTTTAGTACAGGTAATGTCATCTAGGTGACATCTACCAGAGAGAAAGTTAGCAAAATTCTTATAAATTATAACCCTTCTTAAAGTATTAAGTAAATTTGTAGAGCAAGTAAAATTATCTATAAGTTATAACTTGAAGGTTATACAAAGTTTATTTTATATTAAATTTAAGGGATGAGAAATAAATAAAAAAAATAAGTAATTTTTATAGATGCGATCTTGTCATATTATACTGTAATATTACTAATAACTTACATATATTTAACTTATTTGTTATATAAAATAAGAAAAATAAAATATATATAAAAACTAAACTAAGTATTATGAGACTTTAAAGAAAAAGTCAACCTGTTACCTAGTATATAATTATATCATTATTAAAAATAATAATACAACTAAAATTGCTAAATAACTGTTAAAATCTGCCTAAAAATTTACTAATGCATTTTTAGCCAAAGGCCATATTTTTCTTTTTAACTAAAAGCTATACGTGTATGAACATCCTGTGTAAATTAAGAAATTTTCTTAAGTAAATTATATTAATTTTTTAATAGAAATAATAATTTTATGCAGAGATGTTACAATGCACCCTTCCTTTTTGAAAATTATTATATAGTAAATTTGCTAATTATTTGTAATCACATATTATTATAAATTTTATTTTTTTATGAATAAACTTAATTATAAACTTATTATAAAACCTTTAAAGTACATGTCTTATGCATATTTTTGCCTATTTTACAACTTTACCTATAAGACTAAAAAGGATTTATAATACTAATTTTAACTTTTATATATAATATAATATAGAAGATATATTCTGCATATAAAATTTAAATTTTTTTTTAATTAAATGTTAAATTCCAATATATTATATTTATATAAGTTAAAAAATTAATAGATTATTATATGTTCTATCAATTTCTATTCTTACTTTTTAATTTTAATAACAATTTTTTTTTTATAATTTATAAAAAAAATCTTTTTAAAAATGCACTTTTTTTAAAATTGAAGTTTAAATATAAAAAATAAGTTTTAAAAGTAAAAATATATGTAATTCTATATGTAAAAAAAAATTTTCTAAGTTTGTAATAGAAGTTATTTAGTAAGTTTTACATAAAATATGAAAAAAATAGAAAAATTATATTAAGTTAGCAAAATTAAAACTCAAATTTTGTAAGTTTATTAATAATACTGGTATAACTATTTTAATTTTTATAATTAAACTAATTTTAAATTTTATTCAGCAAATAAATTGATTTTATAAATTAAGTAAAAAATGTTCAGTAAGATTAAGAATATTTATATTTTAATTTTAATTTTTATGAATTTTTAGTTAATATTCATGATGCAATCATCATTATTTATATTAATTTTTAAATTTTTTACATCTAATCAACAACTTCAGAATATATTTTTAGCATTTTGAATCTAAGTAAATTGCCTTTATAAATTAAAAAATAATTATTTAGTATTGTCAAATTTACTCATATATTAATTATTATGTCAGTAAGGTTAAAAATATTTATATTTTAAATTTATAAATTTTTAGTTAATATTCATGATGCAATTATTATTATTTATATTAATTTTTAAATTTTTTACATCTGATCAACAACTTCAAAATGTATTTTTAGCATTTTGGATCTAAGTAAATTACCTTTATAAATTAAAAAATAATTATTTGGTATTGTCAAATCTACTAATATATTAATTATTATGTCAGTAAAGTTAAAAATATTTATATTTTAAATTTATAAATTTTTGATTAATACTTATAACATAATTATCATTATTCGTAATAATACTAATTTTTAATCTTTTAATAGTTGAATAATAAAAATTATGTGAATAATTTTTTATTAAAATTGTAGAAGTAACCAATAAGTTTATTAATTAAACTGATTATATTATATAAATATAATGTTATATATATAGTTTACTCTTTCTATAGCGAATTTTGATATAATGAATCACATGATGTTTAGCTAAGATCCTGGATATCACATATATAACTCACATTTGAGTTTTAGTAAATTCAATCAAAATTAGGTTAAATTCATAATTTTAGATAGAGTAAATTGATTGAAAATTAATTAATAGTCATAATTATGAGTTTTAGCAAATTGTGTTAATTTTACAAAATCATATTTTATATTTAAGCAAATTGGTATTTTTTTTTAAATTTAACTTATCTTTTTTTTTTTAACTTTTATAGATAATATTTTTAAAAATAGAATTCAGATTATATTTTAGCCAAAATTAAGTATAATTCCAGCCAAAATTAAGCATAATATAGGCCAAAAACTGTCTAATTAATTTTGCAACATTTTATTTTTTAATAATTATTTATATTTAATTTATTATTTTTATTAATTAATTATAAATTATAAAAATTAACAGTTTAATTTACATTAATTATTTATTTTTTTATTGATAATAAAAAAAAAGATTGTTAATCTACAAATAATTTTAATAAACCAAAATTATATTTTATTAAGCAAATTTAAACCTATATTATTTAGAATTTTATTATAACTTATATTTTAAGTTTTAGCAAATTAGTATAGATTTAAAATGTGCTAATTTGATTTTTAGCAAATTAGGTTTATTTTAGTAAAAGTAAAAAATGCTAAATTCATGCAGATCAGTTATGAATTATATATGTAATGTTTGGGATCCTGCTTAGCTAATAAAATATGTTAATTTTCCTTCGTATAATAAAATAACCAATCAAATTTTTCAAATTCTTTGTTAACTTGCTATAACAAATTTAAGGTGCAAAACAACTTTTTCACTATATTAAAAGTAGACTGTAATCTAAATTTTTTTATATTAATTAAATTTAGACTGGTATTATAAATCTGGTCAGAATTAACAAAATTTTTTTTATCAGCTTTGATGAAAAAAAATTGTCTTCTTTTTTTGTGATATTTCCAATAATTGATATAAAAATAAATAATAATTAATAATAAATTTTCTAAAAATTATATAAAAAAATAGTTTATAATTTTAAAGAAAAAAACTAGTTATCATTATAGGTAATTTTATCTAATTATGTGAATTATTATTATAATATCATTTGATTAAACTATTAATAAACTTTTTTTTTTATAAATTGCCTTTTTTAATTTTTTTCTTTTTCGTTAATCTATCTTCTTTCTTTTATTACACATTTTAATAATAGGCTGTTATGAATATGTTAATGAAAGTTCCACTTTTAGTGATGAGAAAAACAAACTTTATATTATGTTAGTTTTAGGTGCAAAGTTTTAGATATGGAAAGAACTAGATCATCTGGAATGATATGCTTTGTA